AATATCACGGCAGGGGACACCAGAAAATGGGCTTCACACATTGTACCCATGTCAGGAATCGAACCCGGGTCTTCGGCGTGACGAGCGAACGCTTTAACCACTAGGCTACCCGACCGCCCCTGTGAACAGTGAGAGATGGAGAAGGTGAGGTCACTACCAAAGTCTTCATGCAAACAGGTCAATGGTATCTATCAAAATAGAACAGAGATGCACAACACTGGATAATCATAGATGTTAAGTAGACTGTAGAAGACAGGCCTACAAATCAAGACTACTGTAAAAAGATCAATGTCAAACACTTGGGCAAATATTAAAGGTACATAACTTTATTTCTTCTTGGCAATAAAATCCCCCAGCTGAAGAGATTAAATGGCCCCAAATCTATGACTGAATCAAAACTGTCTGACAATGAAATGAGAGAAGTCGGACGTCATGGAGCAGTACAAGCTACAATGTTTCTGCTGAAAACAAAATGTCTGCAGAATTCTCATTAATTCATTTTTATTGAATACTTGAGCAGCAAAGAGACTCAATCTCCTATTCCCTTATCACAACTTCATCGCAAATCAATTAAATACTGTTCACAAAACAAACCTCACAGAATAAAATGAATTTGAAAGTTTGACATAGAAAGATGTACCCGGTATTTAGAGATACTCACTTCAGATCTGCTAGTTTTCATCCAATTATCAAAAACTGACGTATTGATACTGCAATTTTTTTACATCAATTTAAAAAACAAAAAATAACACACTTTGATTAAAACAGGTTTTTTTAAATCAAATGTATTGTTGGTATTAAGTTCCCAATTTCCAAACCTTTCTGAACATTGACATTTCCTGGGTAACTATTGATACAATCTGGAGATTTCCCCCAAGACATGTTCCTCAGAAGATCAAAAAGGCCTAAGATGGTAAATTTAATCCTGCATTTAAACTTTAACCAGAAGCAATTTTCCAGGCTAGCTAGCAATAGTAAATTGCTTCATAAAAGGTACTGCATGAAATTGACAAATAGGTTTTTAGGGAGTCCTGATATGTAATCACTATTTGGGGGGGGGAGTACTGATATGTAATCACTATTGGGGGGGGGGGGGGGGGGGGGGGGGGGGGAGAGAGAGAGAGAGAGAGAGAGAGAGTCCTGATATGTAATCAGCAGGGCTGATGACACCAGACATTAATGCACTGAAATGAACACAGGCCTTCAGTGTGAAAAGCAATTTTATCATACCTCTATGTCAGAATGATGAGATCTGATTGGTTCACATGATCTTGATAAAATACTTTATCATACTCCATGTCAGAATGATGAGATCTTATTGGTTCACATGATCGTGATAAAATACTTTATCATACCTCCATGTCAGAACGATGAGATCTTATTGGTTCACATGATCGTGATAAAATACTTTATCATACCTCCATGTCAGAATGAGATCTGATTGGTTCACATGACCTTGATAAAATACTTTATCATACCTTCATGTCAGAATGATGAGATCTGATTGGTTCACATGATCTTGATAAAATACTTCATCATACTCTTTGTTAGAATAATGAGATCTGATTGGTTTGCATGATCTTGATAAACGCTTTATCATACTATATGTCAGAATGATGAGATCTGATTGAAACATGTGATCTTGATAAAATACTATGTATCCCACCTGGGAGGGAAATATATTCTTAGTGGGAGAATAAATCCCTTATACCCCACCACTAACAAGACAGGATGCACGTGGATTCATGAGGGACAATAAATCCCTTATACCCCGCTTTAGCATTAGTTAACCTCAGCTCGCTCAAATAGCTGTTTTCTATCAATTTTGAATTTGTTTTAATTCTTTAACAATGGGGGATTAAAACATGACGGCAAGATAAATTTGTTCCAGTAGTATCACAAGAGGTACATTTGTTTTAATGCATCCCTCATTGGGTTTTAAACCTTTGATACCTAACACAGGACGCATAAAACCACATGTATCCCTCGTGATACTGCTATAACTTATAGCGTATACCACAAGATCACCACACTGTCCTTACTGGGCGAGTGAGTTAAAAGGTAATGTCGCATGGGCATTTTAACCATATAGCGACGAGAACAATTTGATATGTAAAAAAGTGAGTCAGGAACACAAAGTTATATTTAAAAGCAAATTTGTCACACATATTTTGGCATAATTTATTATTTACAACTGTTTAAGCCAACAGGAACCAAAGCTTGGCCACCTCGCTGGGGATCATGGGGACTTACGGTGCCTCAGCTTCCTGCATAACAACACAGCAGGATTTACGTCATCACTTTAGCACCTTTGTTTCTGGGAGCACACCTTGGTTACACTATCAAGCTGGTCAATCTGTCTTCTTGAGTGAATGGTTTAATGAGTGAGCTGACATGAGGCATTTAGCTAGTGAGGTGAGGTGTTTGTTTGTTGTTTGTTGTTTAATGCCGCACTCAGCAATATTCCAGCTATATGACAGCAGCCTGTAAATAATCGAGTCTGGACCAGACAATCCAGTGATTGACATCACGAGCATTGATCATTGTAATTGGGATACGATGACATGCATCAACCAAGTCAGTGAGCCTGACCACCCAATCCCGTTAGTCGCCTCTTACGACAAGCATAGTCACTGAGATTTGTAAGTAAGTTCAGAAAATAAATATGAATGTTTTGAGTGAGTGAGGGTGTAAATGAAGGACTGACTGACAGAGATTATACACCATCTTCAGTACCATTAGAAACCTCCTGTGATGTCATCATTCAGAGGTTGATATTCTTCATATCTGCCAGGTTCAACTATGCACAATGATGGAATGTATCACCTTGCTTGGTTTTTACAAACTTTATTATAACCTGTACCTCATCTGAAATAGTTTTTGTTAATAAACTTTAAATTAATCTGTACCTCCACTGCAGTTGGTTCCATGAACATTTCCAGATATTGAAATAACCGGTTTCTTCTCTGGTAAGTCACAGTAATTTGTGACACTGAATCACTTTTCCTTACAATAAATCCTGAAATAGAACTTAAATACTGTATGGAATTTCGTTACTCATTCATTGCTAACAATTTGGTCACTGAGGCCTACACATAGAAGTTATATTTTGGAGATGTTAGACATTATTATTTGGAAATGTAATAAAATATGTTTGTTTTTGTTCTTGTAAATTAATCATAAACTGAAATGGGTGAGTGAGTGAGTTTGATTTTACACCGCTTTTAGCAATATTCCAGCAATATCACGGCGGGGGACACCAGAAATGGGCTTCACACATTGTACCCATGTCGGGAATCGAACCATGGTCTTCGGCATAACGAGCGAACGCTTTAACCACGAGGCTACCTGACAGCCCCTAAACAGAAATTTGCAACAGTATGTGAATGATTTCACAAAAAAATACTAATTGTCTTCTATATTAATGGAAGAACATACAGTGTGCTTGTGTGGCATGAGAAATGTTTGCTTGTGTGAAACTGACTAGGTGCTAATCAAATCTACTTCTGTATAGGGGGACAAATTTGTCAATTTGTTTTGGACAATATATGACATATTTTCTCAATTTATTTTGACATATTTGTCTGTTCCTTTGCCCTGGGAAGGAAACTTTGGTTTTACAACCCCAAGAATAACTTCGGAGTTGTGTTATATCCTTAACTTCCAGCAGTGTCTTAGAATGAGAAAACAAGGAGGAACTCCAGAAACTGGACCAACTAGATGTAAACAGATCTCCCCTTTCGCCATGATTTACCAAACAGGCATAGAACTTTTTTTCAGCTGGCTTGTCCCAAAAACATGGCTTGTTAAGCATGTTCAGAGGAAACTGTGATCTCCAAGCACAAAAGTCTCAGAGCTACAGAAGATTGGGCTCTTACATGTTACTTATCCTTTGTATACAACTGTATTCTATGTTACATAAATAAATGTAAGCACACTAAACAGCTAACAGTTGGATATTAGGCACTATATTATATAGTGAGTGAGTTGGGTTTAACGCAGCTTTTAACATTATTCCAGTTATATCGCGGCGTGTCAGCTTAATGTGGGAGGAAAGCCCGCAGTGATGTAGGTCTCAGACGTTTACCACTTCGGTGAAACCCACGAGCATGGGTATGGTGCTGACAAACCTAGAAACATAATCAGGGCGAACCGGGATTCGAGCCCACAATCGTAGGTTTCTGGCGTGCCCAAGGGATGCAACTCTGCACAGCAAATCGCGGCAACTGGGCCACCCATCCCCCCCTATAATATATATATATATATATATATATTATTATTGCTGTTGTTGTTATTATTCCTCAACCCCTTCATTTTAGAACTGACATGTTAAATAAAATCAAATGAGACAGCATTAATGTGATACACATAAGGAAGAGGATTTACTGATGTCAACTTCTTTATGGAACACAATGTTTTTGGAGTATACACTTACTCCTTCATCAGGTGAATAAATGCTATGAGGCAGAGAGCATATATATGTACCTGTAAGAACAGGAATTTCCATTCTATTACCTATCAGTGCTGATGACCCCCAGCCTCCTGTTTGCCCATTGTCCATTACCCATTACCAATCAGTGATAATTTAAGTCCTGGCTTCCAGTTTTCCGTCTTAATCATCTATCAGCGCTATTTAGTGTCAAGCGTTTGCTCCCATTTGTCCATTGCTATCTCCTATCAGCGCCAATTATCTGTTGGCTTCCCTTGTTAGTCCCACCTTTGTTATCTCATTACTTTTGTTGTTCTTACAGGTACATATATATGTTCTCTGCCTCATAGCATTTGTTCGTCTGATGAAGGAGTAAGGATGTACTCCGAAACATTGTTTTCCTCATAATAAAGAAGTTGACATCTATAAATTCTCTTCCTCAATTTTCCTATTTTCAATTGTTAATAGTATTCAAATTAACAAATTAAATCGTTCAAAACTGAATAGTTTTTTAAGGACCAAAGACATCAATAACAAAGTAATTGAGAAAAGAAACACATTCACTCTGGTATGAAATATCAAATGTTTATTCTGAATGATATAACAGAATATCCAACATGATGAAAATAAACTTGAAGTTGAACTTCGTATTTGAGCATTTAGTATTAGTCAGTGTTAAAAGTACAAGAACATACAAGAAACAATTAAATTACTTCTTAACACGAGAAATTCAAAATTTGGCAAAATTGTGACTTAAAACATGTGCAGATATATAACAGATGGTAATAACAACAGCTGTACATCTGTGAATGCACACTTACGTGTACCTGTTCTGTCAGGATTCTTGACAAAGGACAAAAACAATGTAAATCAAACGAAACAACAGCTTCATTAATAACATATATAGCTTGTTTCAATGAAGGATATGTCATTTGTCAGAATAGGATCCAGGAGAGAAGTTCAATCAATGAATCATAAAAAAAGGTTTGATATATTTTGATGGTTAGCGAGATTGTTTGGCTAAAAATCCCAAGTCAGAGATGAAAATAAAAACAAGGATAAAATTATACCTTTCAATTTATATTCTTAAATTGTCAACAAATAAGGCAGGTGAATCTATAAATAGTAATCCTCTGTCTTTATCTTTCACTTTGAGCGGACGTGTAGAGATCAGAGAGCATGCTTCACTTGTCTGGGCCAGGCTGGAAAACAATTTACGTTTTTTTTTTCCTAGGCTATCAGACTCAGTGGTAAAAAAAAATTCTAAACAGAATTCTTTTTTTCTCATTGGCTGGTAACCAAGCAACAAAAAATATTACACCTTAATTCTGAAATGTTTCAATCTTTTTGGGGATAAAGTTAGTTTTCATAGGCTGTTTTACACAAAATCTTTCTGCATAAAGAGTCGATTGTACAATTCCGACTATATCATGAGCATGTGTTTATGAATCAAAAAGTGCTTTCAAATCTTTTCTACCATATGGAAACTTAGGTGCAGGAACACATGTTGAAATATTATATAATATATAATAAAATATTTTACTGTTTACTTGAAGTATAATGTGACTGTGGAATGACATAATATGTCTGTAAAATGAAAAGTTATCACTTAAAGTTTCCGTATTTTGTGTGCATGAAACAGTTAAGGAAAAGTCAATAATAGTCTCATTTTAGATCAGTAAATGAAAACTATCATTTCACTTATTACAAAGTGAAAAGTGCTCAGTGTTTTCTAATTACATAACAAACTATTAAGTCATATCACATAATTTTGAAGCACAGCCTCTTTCAAAGAAATAATAAAAATAGAAGAATAGAGGCCCAGAGCCAGGAGTAGTGACTCGTTCCCAGATGTTCTTGGTCAATGTGAAATACGGCAGTATGCAAAACTTTCAAAAAATTTAAATGTTATAAGGGTTGGATTGGGGTAAATTTCATAACAAAAAGGAAAACAAAAATTCAAACTAGAGTAGAATTTTTCTTATAAAAAACATATTTCAAATACAGCATCAAATATGGTTTAGTAATTTTTTCCAAAATCAAACCTAAAGAGTCAGGTCATTTGTAAAACAAGACATTAACAGTGGTGGCCTCACAAACTGATTCAAGATTATGACAGAACACATAGATTATTAGATGTTCAACCTTGCCTGTCTCACTAATGAACACCCCACATCACGTCATCTTCCTGTACCCAATACCTACAGATGCAGAACTCAGTTTGTTCTCTTCTTCTTTATCTGATGTAATCCTCCAGATACAAGTCAAACTCAACCTCATGTGATTCACACACATTGACAGTTAATGGCCAAAGAAGCATTGAAATGTTTGTTTAAAAAAACAAAATGCCTTCTGCCTTACATTTTTGAAAAATTTGGATGAAAATCTAATCTGGTATTTATAAATGCCTTACCCCTAATTGCACACTATACCTGTCGGCTTCTAACAGGATAAGCACATGAAATACTCACATGTGAACAGAACCATGCCATGTCAGTAAGGGTTTGATCAGCTCACTGCGCGTTTAAAGGTTTATCTCCATATCACATAGGCAGACAAGCATATAAATCAATAAGTAGTACATCTATATTCAGTCCAGTGTTCAGGTAAATTTACGTTATTCACACAATATTGTTAAAATAGTTAAGTACACAATTTGTCTTGGTTGCACTTATTTATCCTCCACAGTTGAAGCGATGAGGTAGCCTGGCTGTTTCCCATTGACTTGAAGCTGATTTGAGCTGGGATAAAAGTGAGCTGTTTTCTTTGGGTTGTATTCATAGCCACTGAGGTCTGATGCGTCAGAGACTGACCGATCTCGCTCATCAATTAAAGGGGCAGCAACACTGTCCTTCGGTGCCAGTAACGCAGGGTGGAGATGTTTCAGACCATTCATTTCCATTCCATTTATTTCGTGAGGAGCAACATTATGCTTACGGTTGCCATCGGCTACAGAGATGCTGAAACTCCGGGTCATTTTCCGTAGTTCTTCTTTATTAAACACACATGAACAAAACAGTCTCCAGAATTCCTTGCGAAATTTTTTGCCAAAAAAGTAATATGGCACAATATTGATTGCTGAGTTCATGATAACTAGAAAGTTGGCAACTTCACTTAGCGTGTGATATGGCGAATCAAGTTTAGCAAGAGAGCTAAATGCCCACATCATACGTGAGACGAGGGCAGGACCCTGGCAAATGAGAAACACAACAACCACTCCTATCAACATTATCGTAGTGTCATTCCGACGCTTCTCACGGACATTGATTTCCTTGCCTTTTCTACGCGAGAGGTGAACTGCACGTATGAGAAAGTAGTTAAGAACGGCGAGAGTCAAGAACGGGAGGCCACACACACATATAAGATACATCCAGGAATGAACAATTTCTTTAAAATACTCATTGTTCCCCACTGCTGTCAACTCTATCATGTACATCTCCATTGTCTGGTTGTTCATATCCTCGTAAGTTATCTCCAACGTGTTATATTCAAAGAACCGTGGCAAATTGAAAATAATTCCAGCAACAAACAAGGCGATGATGACTTTTCGCGCCCTGCCCCGACTGCACATTGTCTCGGCCCTGAATGGGTGACAAATCATGATGTATCGGTCAACAGTAAACGCCAGTGTCAACCATATGGACGTCACCTGGAATGTTATAGCTATGGGGTGTACATAGGGAAAGATGAAGGCATAGTAAGGTTCCTCGAACAAATCCACCGAGTATTTCTGCGGGGGCTTGGTGTCCTTAATTAGCATCAGCATTGTGACGATAAGCACGAGTGTGTCACATGCGGCCAAGGCTGCCAAGAACATGTAGGTTGATGAACGCATGGATTTCGTTGTGAGCACAACAATTGACAAGATATTACCAATGATACCAAGGCAGCTTATAGTCATACCGCCAACGCCCATAAGATAGTACGTAAGAAGCTTACGTTTGAAGGAGTCATCCTCGGTGAAATTCGGAAAGTTCATTCCATAAGACGTGTAGTTGTCATTCGAACTATTCACAGCTGTATCTGTTGTCGTCATTCTTATGTTTCCAACAGCAAAATTGAAATAAATATCACAGACAATCTGTCAAGAACATTTGTTTCGATTTCATTGAGAATTCTGTGATGATCATGTTGTCATCCTGCATTGTTACCATTCAGATCAAATTCTCTCAGCATCCCAAGATGCCAGATGGCATATTGACACTGACAGCAGCATCATGTCATCTATATACTCCCTTCTCAAGTCAGGAGGCAGTCAAGGATATACATGTCTTTACTGTTTCATTGGGTCCAAGATTCATGGACTGGGAAAACCCACCGGTGTTGAGGAATGATAACTCTGTACCTTCCCACACTCATTTCATGATTCAGCCAATCACAAACCACCTATGTCTTGCATCAACCAATCACAACCCTGGTATTTTACGTATCAGCCACAATCACAAACCAGCTCCCATTTGACTGGTATGTATCTTGACACTCTTCATCAATGGTCTCTCGTTGCAGGTAATCAATTTCTTGATGTAGTTAGACTGATAATCCTCACATGCCTCTGTATGTGTTTCTGACGATAATTGGTTCAGACAAATGTGTTCTTTTCACACATAATTAACATGGAAACTCCTTCTGATGTTTATGTCTTCTGAGAACAGAATCATTTGGGGATTTTCTGAATGAAACAGTTATCCATCTGTTGTTCAAGCATAACAACTGATTATTATCACATCTGTCTGTTGTTCAAGTATAACAACTGGTTATTATCACATCAGTCTGTTGTTCAAGCATAACAACTGATTATTATCACATCCGTCTGTTTTTCAAGTATAACAACTGATTATTATCACATCCTACTGTTGTTCAAGTATAACAGAGTATTATCACATCCGTCTGTTTTTCAAGTATAACAACTGGTTATTATCACATCAGTCTGTTGTTCAAGCATAACAACAGAGTATTATCACATCTGTCTGTTGTTCAAGTATAACAACTGATTATTATCACATCCTACTGTTGTTCAAGTATAACAGAGTATTATCACATCCGTCTGTTTTTCAAGCATAACAACTGATTATTATCACATCCTACTGTTGTTCAAGTATAACAGAGTATTATCACATCTGTCTGTTGTTCAAGTTCATACACTATGGTTACAAGTTTATAACACAGCTCATTCTGTTGTAGACTGTTCTTAACTTAACTAAGGTCTTGACAGGCCAAGATCTAATAGGAAATGGCAAAATTGAGCCTCCAAAAGAAACTGTCTCTCTCCACTTTGGTTCCCTTGTCACAAGGATGCAATCTGCGTCGGCTTTCTGTAAACCCCACTCGTAGTCAGGTCCATTGTCACTTGTTAAATAACTTGACTTCTAAAATCACCATAAAAAAAACCCCAAACTTTTACAAACATTTGACGATTTCTTCTTCAAACCATCGTCACATATTCCATCTTCCTGTCGCAGACAGCAACCATTCTTTCTGTAATTAAAAGAGAAAAAATCATGAGTTGAGCTGTCCAAGCTTAGAGGGCATTTCTTAAGGAGTTGTGGACAATTGCAGTGAGCGAGCTAGTGAACAACGGATACTACGCCCGACTCCCTCAAGAATCAATAGCTCTGTACACCGCAGTCTGTTTAGAGAGCTATCTAGTATTCTGGCATCTAATTGCAGCCATGCACTGATGTAAGGTTCTGTATTGTGGGACTGGGAGAGGTGTTGGTGGAGAGCTGCTCTCATTGGTTGCAGGTGACTGTGCGAGGAGGGACTTATGGGTTCTGAGAGTCACAGATTACCACAGTCCAGTTGTGAGACGGCAGAGTACTATATAGGTGTGTGAGGAGAAGCTAATGAAAGGATGTTGGGATGAATACACTCTCTGACTCTTCTTCAGCTCAGTGTTGGAGCTGAAGAATTAGGAAAGCCTATTCACACTATTCATTACTATGCTTCATAAACTATTCTGACAATTTCCTAAAGCTTCAAACTCGTCAGAGCTCAGCAGAAGGTGGCCAGATATTTCATCCTCATCATTTTAACCATGTGATCAAAAGCATGGGTTCTTTCTCTGCACACTTAACATTGTTAAATCAATTTGATGATTTTTTTTTTGCTATTTTTTGTTTCTATTATAAATTCTTTTCCTTTTCTTCCTTTCTATCAATAATAACTATTGATCAGTTGAACCTCCTGATAATATGAAGGTTGATCTGGTGCACATATTTCTATGCAGGAAATATAAATTGTGAGTGTGTGTTTGTGTGTGTGTTAGTATGTGGTGTATGTGTGTGCGTGTTAGTATGTGGTGTGTGTGTGCATGTGCATGTGTGTGTGTGTGTGTGGAGAGAGGGTGTCAGAGTATGTGTGTGTGTGTCATTATTAAAAAGATGTCAACTGTTTGTGTATGGGCAAGACACTTATGATAAAGGGAGACAATTTGAGGGGAGATAACTCTCGTATGACAATAATTCCATGAAAGTGTTATGTTCACAGCAGTGAAATATCAAGTGCTTGTGATTTGAGAATTGTTTCTTATTAATCCACCAACAGAATGGGAATCAAAGTTCACTTGCCATATAAGTTTATGCAGCCATGCCACTCAGATGAGTTTTAAGACCTTTTGTGTAAAAAAAATATCAAGCAAAAAAACGAAAACAACAAAGATAGACTCTTTATAACGTCAGCCTTTTGAACTCATACATATTTTCATTCATCCTCTATCTGTCAACATATACAACAAATGATGTTAACTTTCTCAACACAATAAGCTCATATAAGTTACAGTAAGCGCATATAAGTTACAATAAACTCATATCCAACCCAGTAGCGGTAATGTGGGAGTTTTCCTGTCAATTACAGTCGGACAAATAGGACATTCAGGCATAGAACCTTCGCTGTGCTTACCTGCTACTGTAGAGTTTTCTTGTTTGACCTATATGACTTGATACCTGCCCAAGGGCATCATTAGAGACACCAGAAGCTTATTTCTAATCTGTGTTAATTGAACAGAGACAGAGGACATCACAAGTTCATAATGAACATCACTCATCCTCCGTATCTTCCTGTGTTTCTTTGCTGTTTATATGAAACTCAATTCTTATATGAAAACATGTTGCTGTGATTTGATTTTATGTGAGTTTAATGCCAGATCTGTGTACGATATGTTTTTTCACAACCGGAACAAAAGGCAGAATGGTTTCGATCACATTCAGCCGGATACAATGAACGTAATTGTTTTACAAATACACACACGTGTACATCGACTTCAAATTAATTTCATCAGTTTATTTGTAACTTTATTTGCTTTAACGAGCGTTAACGCGCTTTTAGGGGAAAATTCTTCATGCATTTTTGGGAGCCATGCATGGTTTCCCCTTCGGTGCATCCGGAGTAGCGGTACATCGAGGAGCGTTAAGTCGAGGGACCACTGTACTTGAATCACACTGGCTACTACTGCAAACTATCCGGACCAAGTTTCCCTTTAACATCATCAATTTAAATCTAGTTTCCTTAAATTGTTGATTCCATTTTGGCCCTTTTTTAGAACACGAAATGACCAAGCAAAAATGTTAGATCTACATGGAGGCGTACAGGGTGAGTGGCATTTATAAAGCGACGTGCATGCATGTGTGCGTGTGTGCATGCTTGTGTAGGTGCGGACTGATGCCAATTTATAGTGCTAGCACACTGAGATATCATGCCTCGGTTTAACATGAGTACCCCACTCAGATACAGTATACTGATTCCAAGCCGACCAGTCCTTGTTTTAGCCCCTTAATGCTGAGCGCCAGGCAGGGTAACAACAAATACCATCTTTTAACGTCTTTTGGTATGACGTGGCCGGGGATCGAACCCTGGACGTACCACTCTAAGCGGCAGACGCTCTACCACTAGACCACGGAGGCGGTCTCAATGCCAGAGAATAACCAGTCTCAAGTATCTGATGAAGCAGATTCCATTGGTTGTAAAAGGCACAATAGAGGTGAAAATTATAAGAATGAAAAACTGAAAAACGTTGATGACACCAGGTGTTTGCAAAAAGGGTAAGCATGTCCTGCCCTACTGTCCTGTCTTACTAATAGCAGCACCCGCCATAAAAACAATTTGCATAAAAAAATATATGTGTTTGTTGCCTGACGCCAGACAGGATTTGAAAAATGCAATTCTGCAGAGTGGATTGTGGTGTTCAAGACCTGTCAGGTGCCTATTAAGACAGAGGGTATAGGTCGTTTGGGAGCAATCATTTGACATTGTGGCGGGGGGCCTGGGATTTAAAAAATAAAAAAATAAAAAAATGTTCCTGAAAAATATAATTTTACCTCAAGTACTTTAGGAAATAAATTCTCCGCTGAACAACTACTTGATGTCCTGAAAAATAATGTGTTGTGAAAAAGGAATTGTTCAGCTACTTTCAGAGAAAATAATTGTTTGCCTTTAAATGTTTTTGTCTCTTATGATAATTTAACTCTTTCAGAATATTAAATGGCGGGCCCGAGTATATTCCACAAAGGCAGTACATGTCACAAGGTCAAACTCAAACCAACAATAGCTGAAGGTCCCACCAATACACACTAACAGACACAGCTAGTTAGACACACAGAGCCAACAACAACATCAATAGTAAGAGGCTGGGAGTTACAGCTTACCATATAGAATCTGCCAGATATCTGTGCCAAGGGAAATTATTATAATGCGAACTTATGTAACAAAAAATTAATGGTGACATATTTGCCACAGCTGGGATAGGTCGGAATCGCTGTCTTGTTGGCTCTGAGAATACATACCGGTACTGTGAGTGAGGATGGATTAATACTGCTTTAGAGGGTGAGTGAGTGAGGTTTTACGCCGCTTTTAGCAATATTCCAGCAATATCACGGCAGGGGACACCAGAAATGGCCTTCACACATTGTACCCATGTCGGGAATCGAACCCGGGTCTTTAACCACTAGGCTACCCGACCACCCCAATATTGCTTTAAACATTTTTTTTCGGTATTGGCGTCATGTCAGTGTAATGTGTTATATCCTTCACATCCTAACTCATTCAAGAAAGAAATCGTAAAACTGTGATTGATTGTTAGTTTATCATCAGTCATTTGTCCTTTAGGGATGATCAATCAAAGTTTCTTAAGTCATATTTAAGTGAACTTTCATGACTGTGACAACCAAAAATAAAGTTAATAAGAGTGTCAGGTGAAATGTATTTCAATCATGTTACAGCGTTTCAGCTCAGTATTGTCCGACCGTTCACATTCATAAAATACACAAGAACAAGTACACTGAATGACCATCGATGGTAAGAAGGGAGAATATGGTTTTGAAGCTGATGAAAAGGTAATCTTGGTTGAGTGCCAGAGCATCAAAATAACCTATTGCCAGAGCAGCTACTTAACCTTTTGCCAGAGAAACAAATTAACCTATTGCCAGAGAAACAAATTAACCTATTGCCAGAGCATCAAAATAACCTATTGCCAGAGAAACAAATTAACCTTTTGCCAGAGCATCAAAATAACCTATTGCCAGAGAAACAAATTAACCTATTGCCAGAGCAGCTACTTAACCCATTGCCAGAGCATCAAAATAACCTATTGCCAGAGAAACAAATTAACCTATTGCCAGAGCAGCTACTTAACCTATTGCCAGAGCATCAAAATAACCTATTGCCAGAGCAGCTACTTAACCTATTGCCAGAGCATCAAAATAACCTATTGCCAGAGCAGCTACTTAACCTATTGCCAGAGAAACAAATTAACCTATTGCCAGAGCATCAAAATAACCTATTGCCAGAGAAACAAATTAACCTATTGCCAGGGCAGCTACTTAACCTATTGCCAGAGCGTCAAAATAACCTATTGCCAGAGAAACAAATTAACCTTTTGCCAGAGCAGCTACTTAACCTATTGCCAGAGCATCAAAATAACCTATTGCCAGAGCAGCTACTTAACCTTTTGCCAGAGAAACAAATTAACCTATTGCCAGAGCAGCTAATTAACCTATTGCCAGAGCATCAAAATAACCTATTGCCAGAGAAACAAATGAACCTATTGCCAGAGCACAAATTAAGTTATTGCCAGAGTATAAATTAACCTATTGCCAGAGCACAAATTAACCTATTGCCAGAGGCAGAAATTAAACTATTGCCGACTAACGGGATTGGGTGGTCAGGCTCGCTGACTTGGTTGATGCATGTCATCGATCCCAATTGCGTGGATCGATGCTCATGATATCAATCACTGGATTGTCTGATCCAGACTCGATTATTTACAGACCGCCGTCATATAGCTGGAATATTGCTGAGTGCGGCGTTAAACAACAAACCAACAAACCAACCAGAGTATAAATTAACCTATTGCCAGAGCACAAATTAACCTATTGCCAGAGCACAAATTAACCTATTGTCAAGACACAAATCAACCTATTGTCAGAGCACAAATTAACTTATTGCCAGAGCACAAATTAACCTATTGCCAGAGCACAAATTAA